TGACTGTTGTGTAGGGGCCTCCAGAGCAGTTCGGAAGCTTTGTGCGGAAGCAGTTCGGAAGCCAAGTGCGGAAGTTTCTTGGAAGCAGTTTGGAAGCTTAGCGCAGAAAAAGTTGCAGTGTAAGTGCGGAAGCAGTTCGGAAGCTCAGTGCGGAAGCTTCCCGGCAGCTAAGTTCGAAAGCAGTTCGAGAGCTCAGTTTGGAAGCTGTGCAGTCCGGAACTGCGCAGAAACTTGTTCAGCGAGCTTTGGAGCTGTCGCGCAGCGTTCCATCACGCTTCGGAACTGTTTCCCGCCCACAAACCTTTGAACGCTGTTTGCAACACAAACCTTTGAACGACGGGCTCCTGTCTTGAAACAAGCCTCGTAGCGAACACAGAGTGGAGAGCTGCGTGGTGGAACGGTTCCTGTATTCACTCAGGGTGGGTTTTGTGGAAAGTGCTTGCCCATCGCACCGCTTTTGCTCAAGCTCACACCATGCAACAAAAACGATCGCTGCCGGCTTTTACTAGCCCGCTGTTGCTTCCTACTGTGCGCCTTTCAACTTGCACGCTGTTTTCGAACTGCATAGCAGCTTGCTTCGAAGCCTGCTTTGGGTCGAACGGGTCCTTCAGCTTCGGAGCTGCTTTCCGGCAAGCCGAATCAAAAGCTGAGCGAGTGAACTTTTTCCAGCTTTCTCCAGCTGTCTTCAGTCTTGTGTTATCTCGCTTTGCTTTCGGACTAAAGCCGTAGCCTTTGTTATTGCGTGGTACAACACTTTCCCCAACCGTGATTTTTTACGCATAGCTTCGTTGCATCTCATGCAACTCCATTTTCCTTGCAAGTTGCGATAATCGCTCAGAAGTTTTACGGAAAAAATTAGACATACTCGCAAAAACCACGACAAACCACTACGAGTGCTTCGGCCTTCAACCGAAAACTGTTTTTTGTTGCAGTACGACAAGGGTTCTGTTGCGATTTGTTTGCACATTAGCTGACAGCGTGGTCCAGCTGCTTGCACCCGATGTCGTTGGGACCAATAGCATTGCTTCAAAGATCACGTTTGTGCATGTACGAATGCAGCAGGCGTTTGAGGCTTGAGACTGAGCAGTGTCAAACGTCAATGGCATGGAATGTAAACAGCGAACACATCTCATGGAGGGACGAATCCCCTGGACGTTTTGCCAACAGATGATTTCGAAGTCGTTTTTTGGTTTATAGAGGCACGAACCATTGTCACACACGCTGTTTGCATGGCGGTCGACAGGAGGCTGCCGGGGCAGGATTGGGAGCGCAACACATCACAGACTGCTGTTCGAGCAATTCCGATGGCTGTCTTGCAGCTTTATTGTCTTGTGTATGATGGGATTCGCAACCATGAGCAGGATGTATGCCTTGCACGGTTTTGGAAGCCAACTGTTCGTGGGCTTCTCAGGCTGAGTGTTTAGCAGGGATGTTTCGTGCCTTGCTCGAAAGATATGGGTGTGGGGAGCCAGCCTCATCTGAGTGGAATGTGGGTTTTATCATGGCAGTACTTGCATTCCGTGTCCGTGAGAGAGGATGAGAGATGTTTTCCGCGAAGTTTTTTTGTGCCTGCAGAGCCAGAAGAATCGCTGGATGGACGTTTGTGCCTCCCCATATGACGAGCATCACATGCAGAGTAAATCTTCGGGCGCAGATCAGCAAGCACAGCAAATGAGCCAGCCGCCGCACTTGTTGCGTAAATCCCGCTAGTTTGCTGTATTAGTGTATGTGTTTGGGCATGAGGCCGCAATCCGGAGTCTGCTCGCAATGCAGGAGTGGAGTTTGGCACGTGCACGGCAAGATGACCAATGTCTCCGATGCAAAGGAGCGAAACTTAATCGTGTTTTTGTCGAAGGATCTGACACAGGTGTGATCTCAAAGTCCAGGCCAACACGATCCGTGAGTGCGTGCCCATGCCCGTACCGCTTCCAAATTATGTCCGGCGCCTAGCAGCGTGCTTCTTGATACGGTGTCTGGCGCTGGACGCATCGATAATGCGTGAAAGAAGCGGATCGCGCACGAGGTGCTGTTTGGCTCTGATCTCCACAGGAGCCATCACCGCATCGTGGCCATGGCCTCATGCAGATGTGATGCGAAAGACCAACTCTGAAGGTGAAGAGGGCTACACTTCAGGATGCAGATGCATAGCACGAGTTTTTCGGCAACGAAGTGCACGACATAGGATGTTCGACTGTTTGTTCACAGCGGTTCTGTCGTTTGAATAGCTGTGCTGAATGGAGGGACAATCATGACAACGGATGCAGCACATTCATGCCGAAAGCATCCACAGATTTCGTACTGTTGAAACAGTGTAGTTGCCAAGGTCTCAAATTCAGCAGTTTACATGGCAAGGCAGTGCCCGGCTTGGCCCCTTGCTCAGATTGTGTTAGGGAGGTTTCAGCAGATGCATGCAAAGTTCGTGGGACCACGAGATTCTGTGCGGATCCCCTTGCCGGACACCGAAGAGGGAGGAAAGGCCTGCCCATGATTTCCATGATGGTGGGTGCTGAAAGACAACTGTCGGCGCGAAGGATATCGAACCCGATTTTCCACCGGACATAGTAGACGTGGAGGCACTTTCCTATTGAAGCTTTCTGTTTCAGAATTATCGTTGCTCTTATGCAATGTCTGTTGGCTTTTGTGCAAGGCTGCTGCTGACTTTGGTAACGGCAGTGCAGACGAACAGGCATTTCGTCATTTGCGCAGTGTAGGCATGTAGGAGCTCATGTACATGATTTTGCAGTCAGATGCTGCAGTCCCGATCATGTCATGGTGTTCTTGTGACAAGGCAGCCGGGCGTTCGAGGAGTCGGTCTTCGTCCGAAGAGGCATCCACTTGTTTCATGCAGGCTTCTCCCAGAATGGCGTTTGCACTAGGTTCTTGATGGTCCGGATGACGATCCTCGCAGCCAAACTGAGGAGCCATGAAGTCCGCATCTTCAGTGTAGCACAGCGAAGCAAAGCAGGAAGACCAAGAGCACACGGGGGTCTTCAACCTCGACGAAGCTGGTTCCTTACAGTTCTGAGGTAACGGGGGAGAGTATAGAGTCTACACATAGAGGTTGAAGATGAGTCTCGTCTCGTTGGGGCGTGATCCCAGGGGTCCCCTTCGTGCACTAAGTGCATGGCACTCTCCCCTGACAGGTGCGAGACGACGATGGCAAAGCCCCCACGACCTTGTCCAGAACTTGTTCTTGATCCGGCGTCCGTTCATTGCCCAATCCACACATGCTCGACCAAGGCTGGGTATCTACCAAGAGCTCTGCCGCATGGGACTCCGCTCTCCTGGCGCTATCAGGTGCAGGGAGACGGAGACAGAGAGAGAAAGAGAGAGCGACACTGGGGAAGAAGAAGAGACGGTATCTTTGTCACTCGCTCCGATGTGTATCTTTTGCCTCTTTGTTTGCCGAACCGGCTCCGGGTCTCGCTGTGTCTCTTGGTTTCTGTCTTCCTTGTCCTCAGGTCTGTGTGTCTTTCTGTCGCCATCGCATCGAGCTAATTTTTTGCGGTGTAGACAAAGGGCAGACCCAGTTTTGATGGTCCTGAAGGGTCCGATTGCTTTCGGTTTTATGCTTTCTTCTCGCCTTTAGCAGCCGTCAGTAAGCAGAGAACAGAGAGGCAGGGGAGCAGCTGAGTCTCTGTTGAAGGCTAGCGTCTCCAGAGCTGCGGGATGTCGGAAGCCTCGGATGCTTCCTTGCCGTGTGCCTGTCACGCACGGACAACGTGATGCACGGCTTTTTAAGGCCGTTGTCCGGCTGTACCAGCCCCTGGTGCCTCAGTGGCCAGAAAAAGTTTTCAGCGCGTGGTGAGGCCGGTGTCAGACTGTGTCCGAGTCAAGGTGGAGCGGCGACCTCCAGCAGCCTTTCATCCTGAACGAATGGCCTGGTGCCCGTCAGTGTCAGATGTTCCGACGTCTGTGCCCCAGAGATCTCTAAACGACGGAGCCGAGGTGACCCTAAAATCTCCAAATTGCAAGCCACGAACTTGAAGTTTCTGGATACTTCGGAAGGTGTCTCGCAGCAGTGCCGATACGCCGTAACGCTGAGGGATCCGGCGTGGAAACACATCTTGGACGGCACACGTACTGGGCCCATGCAGGAGTCCGAAGGTTTGTTGAAGTCCTGGGCCCTGCGAGAGAGAGTGAGGTCGCGCGGTGCCACGAGCCTTGGTTGATGCAGCTGTCTCAATTTCTGTCTCATCGGTGTTTGTGGCCCATGCGCAGATACTACACTGAGGTGACGACTGGAATGGGAGGAGGGTTCCTGGCTTGGTATCGCACAAGTTGGGGTGTGTTAGCTATAAGAGAAGCTGGAAAGGCCAGAGCTGGATTTGCTGGAGCTGCGCCTTTGGGAGGCTTTTGATGCGGAAGAGCAGTTCTAGAGTTCTGCTGCTGTCCTCGGTGAGTTCTTGCAGATCAATGCATCCCTGGGCGATCAGCCCAAGCCTGCCATCAAGGACACGGCAAGCAGCATGTGACGGACAACGATCGTTTAAACTGTTTTAGTGGTGTTGGAAGTCCCATGTGGTTTTGTGCCTGCAGCTTCAAGCCTGCTGTAGTCACGTGTAGTCTCTCCGAGTCTTCAGCACGAAGACCGTCGAGCTTTGGCTACCAATGGTTGCAAAATCGTGGCTGTGGAAGCTTGCTGGAGAGAGTGCATTGACCCAAGGAATCTCGGCGCTCCGGACATGGAGGACTGGTGCCGTCCTTGGATTCCTGGCGAGACCGACGCGAGGCTCATAGAAAATTCCTCAAGCTTCAGATCATCCAAGTGTCAGGTTGTTGAAGAATGACAACGCAACCTCCTTCTTGTACAAGCATGAAGAGAGAAGGCAACCTCTCGGACATGAGTGTAGGACAGTATCACGCGGTGCCCTTGCAGTCGAAAACCCTTTGAGCGCCCGTGAGCCTGTGGCTCACGTCAGAATGTATCCAAAGTCTAGAGAGGCTGGCTTTATCGGAATCGGATTGCTCGTGCGCTTTCCTTGATAATGCACTGTTGTGACGGAGGCTGGGGTATCAGCCCAGCGATCCTCCTGTGCCAAGTGCAAGCAGGCATTCCTTTGCTTGAGAGGGTCATCGGAGTCGCCAACTTCGCTGAAAGATGCACAGGACCGCAAGACACGTTCTCACCATGTGCGACCTAAGCAGGGAAGAGGCCGCCCCAACGTAGACAGACGATGACAGAAAGAAGTAGTGGAGATTGGCCAGGTCATGGATATCTTGCGAGTGGCAGCGGCGATGAAGGAATCGAGAAGGATGAGTGCTTAGCTGAAGAGATATCACGAAGCCAGAGATGACTCGTCGCTGGCCCTCTGAGTCTCTGAGGACCTATCTGGACACGGGCTATGACAGATTTTCGGAGACCCTGAAAGGCAGTTGTCCCAGTGAAAGCCATCCTAGGCTCCGGCATCCGCCTACTATGGGCATCTCACAACTTTTGGACTTGAGGCTAGTTCCGATCGCCGTGGAACAGCGAGCCGAGGTTATTCGCTTTTGACGCTGTTCGAGAAGCCCTCTCTGCGCCGCTGGGCTGGAAGTGATGTCGTTGTGGTCAGTGGAGCACATTCGCTGTGAAGCAAGGAACGCGAGTGTCGCTCGAAGTAGGCATGAACCAGCTAGGCGGCCCGAAGCTCGGCCGTTCAGAGACCTTGAAGAACTGAAGCCATCCTCCCCGGCTTGACAGGCCAGGCGATTTTCTACTCCATAGCTGATTCACCGCTGGGTGTGAAGGAAAGTATTCAGGAGCCAAGCTGCGTCAGCATGCTATACACTTTCCTGCATGGAAGCTGGCCGTCTGCCGAAGGACACCGGGAAGGTGTTGTCTCGAATGTGTGGCGAACTCGGGCTTAAGAGCGATAGCGGCACTGACACATACCGTGGGGCTTCAGTTAGCAAAGAAACTGCATCAGTCGAAGTAGAACGCAGAAGGAAGGCCGGCTTCAAAAGGCTGAGTTGAGTCGTCGTACACATTACCGCAGGCATGGAGTCTTCGCCGGACCGTATTCGGACTTCAAGATGTTGTTACAGTGTTACAGCTAGGGAATCGAATTCGTTTTCGCCCGCAGACTGCCATCTGGCACTGTCGTAGTAATCGTTGCCCGACGCCAATTGCGAATGTTTGTACTAGCCCTGGTGTCTGTTGCCGCTTTTATCTCGAGGCGGCATGCCACCTGCAACCGGAATGTAGAAAGGAGGACTCGGCGCCGATGTCCTTCATGGCCCGTCTTGCCTGAGCTGCCAAGTGCGCTGCGCGGCCAGCAAAGAAAGGTGGAAATGGAGAGCACAACTCCGATTCTTCAGAGACGCTTCGTCGCAGTAGCATTTCTTTCCGTTTGCACCTTGCTGAATAGGTGAGGTCAAGCAGGCTGATGTGATCACTTTGTCCTGATGAGCGACTTCAGTTTTCTGTGGACGCTATCTGCTAATTACTCTCGGGACCAATGCGGGGTACGAGAAACGATTTATTTGGCGGCGTCTCTGCACTGTGCATCGCTTTCAGGTTCTTCCTACCACTAAGCTTTGATTTTGCCTGGGTTAGCAAGCATTACGGCATGCACCCCTCCCGACCAGTCAAGTTGCGCTGTTCGGAGGGTGACAGTCGCAACTTAAGACAACCAGCAACCTGGGGCTCTCACACACATACTCTGCATTCCAAGAACTAGCTGCGCTCTGAAGGTGACGTAGCACACGACTCCGAACGATTCACCCATCCGAAAGTCGCTCGTGCGACGGACGGAAAGTTCGTTCAAAGCAAATCTTGGGGGAGACTAAATCGTCTCGATTCTTTTGCACGGCGAGGGCCTGTCAGTGCAAGGAAGTCTGCATGGCTCGTCTCATGCAGAGTCGCCTCTGCAGCGTGTGATTCTGGTGGTGGCTTCGTTGTGCTTTGTTTGCAGTTATCATCCTGGATGTTGTATGTCCCACGGAGATTTCCACAGCTGAGGCAAGCACTGGTAGCTTTGTGTCGCTTCGCTCTTGGAGACATCTGGGGTGGACTATGCGATGTGCTGGTGCCGATGATGGGTGTTATTGCAGTCTTTGCCCCTTGTTTGACACACGGCCTGGCGATGGGCATCTTGAAAGACGGTGCATGTCCAGCATGTCCTTCAAGATTCAATATTCGCGAGGAACGGAAGGCACTCTACTCCCTGCTCTGTGCTTTCGCCAACTTTGTGGATCTGTGTCTCAGCATGGGGCTCTGCCTTGGCACATTGCAGCCAGGCTGTCAATAGAAAAAGGTCTGTGGTAGATGCCTTTCTGCAACAATCTTGTCTTAGGGCTTAGGGATTATCTGTCTGAGTACATGTAAAGAACGCCACGAACCTCACGAATGTTGTTGTAGATTCCAAGTGATTGCATGCAACCCTAGACGCTAAACCCTGAACCAGGCTGCGATCCACAGAGGGTGTTAACCTCAGCGCCTGCGACCTCACAGCCATCCATAGCTGCTCATGCCTTGTCACGGCTTTTTCCTTGTGTCGTCCGGCTGCAAGGGCAGAAACTCAGTCTGGATATGCAGAGTGGCGTCCTTCTCACTTCTGCATCGCTGGCCCTTTTAGTTCTTTGCGCGACTTGTCTAAATCTCCAGCTCTTTTCGGCATCGCAAATGCCTTTTGCACCTGGCAACAACTCGTCGAGAGGCCAGCGTCTTGATGTGGCGGGATCTTCGAGCAAGAGAAGCTGGCGGCATTTCGGGTGCGGAGGCTGCGGTGATGTACGGCTCTCTGAAGGATGGAAACGGAGGCAGCCGGAAGCTTCCAGCAAGACGAAAAGGAGCAGTCATAATTACGTTAGGAACACTACTACTCATACTTGTACATTTCTGAGTCCCGGTCGGAGGCAGGTGTTTGAAGCCGCCTCCGAAACTCATACTGATACTGATACCAGCACTGATACTAATGTTATTCATGGTAATACTAATACAAATACTAAAACGATACCAATGCTAATATTGGTATGCATAATTACACTGTGCCGGGGGAATGGAGTTCTCCTATTATCGGTGAGGTAGG